ATAAAATCATTTGTATTAAACATTTTCCATATTGCATTGCCTATATCCAGTTCAACAGGACAAATTATGCTCTTTTTTAATCTAATTCATAGTGCTTTTGAGTACTGACAATATCTATGATAGGATCAGAAAATTGACATATTGTGATGTAAGTTATTATGACAAGAATAAATTTTGCCATACTTTAAGTAAATCCTTATTAAAATGCTCAGTGTTAATTGCGTAAATTTGCAGTTTCTGCAGCAGGTTGATGCAGCTTTGACAGAGGCTATTAACTTCAATCCATTATTTATGTGTGTATTATTAAAATTCTACACTCTTTCCTTTTCTACGCTCTTTGAGCGATGCCATAGAAAAGCCAGTTTTGGTTACCTAAAAAACTACAGTTGTATGAAAAAGTTTGGGAGCCCCTGAACAATTTACAACCCCATTTCCAAAAAAGTTGGGACGCTGTGCACAATGTAAATAAAAATAAAATGCAAATCATATAAACCATATTTTTAAAGGAAAATACTACAAAGACAACAAAAGTTGGGACAGGGGCATGTTTACCACTGTGTTTCATCACCTCTTCTTTTAACAACACTCTGAGGAGACCAATTGCTGTAGTTTTGAAAGTCAAATGTTTTCCCATTCTTACTTAACTTAGGATTTACCATTATTTTACCGTCATCACCATTTAAAACGATGTGTAGATTCACTATTTTTTTTTTTTTGGGATAGAAAATAATAAAACAACTATATTTTCATTTTGGACATTGCAGTCCCTGGTTCCTATCACCACCACTGTAAATAAATCTGAGCCAGTGATTTTCTCTGCAATAAACTACTTTACATCATATATTTAACACTGAATGACTTTGTTTACATGTTAAACACTGAACTATGCAGAAATTTGGAAAGTCACTTTAATGCTTCCATATTTTTTCTCTTGGAGCATGTTTTAAAATGTACAATATTTTACATCATGCTTATCACTATGTTGTCCTGGAACACACCAAATTGTGTCTGTCAATATCAAAATAATAAAAAAGTGAAACAGTTTTTCAAAAAAGAACTAGAGGGGGGCAATATGATAAAAATGTAATATCACAATATTTCAAGAGGTTTTCATGATACACAATATGTCACAAAACTTTTTTTTTTTTTCTGACATCTAGTAAAAAAAGTTGGAAAAGACAAAGTAGTGCTACAATTAAAAAATACCATTAAAAAATCTGAATAAAATCATTTGTATTAAACATTTTCCATATTGCATTGCCTATATCCAGTTCAACAGGACAAATTATGCTCTTTTTTAATCTAATTCATAGTGCTTTTGAGTACTGACAATATCTATGATAGGATCAGAAAATTGACATATTGTGATGTAAGTTATTATGACAAGAATAAATTTTGCCATACTTTAAGTAAATCCTTATTAAAATGCTCAGTGTTAATTGCGTAAATTTGCAGTTTCTGCAGCAGGTTGATGCAGCTTTGACAGAGGCTATTAACTTCAATCCATTATTTATGTGTGTATTATTAAAATTCTACACTCTTTCCTTTTCTACGCTCTTTGAGCGATGCCATAGAAAAGCCAGTTTTGGTTACCTAAAAAACTACAGTTGTATGAAAAAGTTTGGGAGCCCCTGAACAATTTACAACCCCATTTCCAAAAAAGTTGGGACGCTGTGCACAATGTAAATAAAAATAAAATGCAAATCATATAAACCATATTTTTAAAGGAAAATACTACAAAGACAACAAAAGTTGGGACAGGGGCATGTTTACCACTGTGTTTCATCACCTCTTCTTTTAACAACACTCTGAGGAGACCAATTGCTGTAGTTTTGAAAGTCAAATGTTTTCCCATTCTTACTTAACTTAGGATTTCAGCTGCTGAACAGTTCGGGATCTCTTGTTGTATTTTTCATTTCATAATGAAAATTATGTTCCAGATGTTTTCAGTGGTGACAGGTCTGGACAGCAGGCAGGTCAGTTTGGCACCCAGACTCTTTTAATACGGAGCAATGCTGTTGTAATACATGCGGAATGTGGTTTGACATTGTCTTGCTGAAATAATCAAAGATTCTGTCTGGATGGCAGCATATGTTGCCAAAACATGTATATATTGTTCAGCATCAATGGTGCCTTCACAGATTTGCCAGTCACCCAAGCCATGTGCACTATTGCACCCCTATACCATCAGGAATACTGGCTTTTGAACTCTGCACCGATAACAAGCTGAGTGGTCTTTAACCCAGGGGACACAGTGTCCACGATTTCCAAAAAGAATTTCAATTGTTGATTTGTCAGACCACAGGATGCTTTTCCACTTCCCCTCAGTCTATTTTAAATGAGCTTGTTTTTATTCACATTTTGCACAGCATCCCAACTTTTTTGGAAATGGGATTGTATATGTGTTGTTGATGTTCTAAGTGAAAGTAAGTTAAACACACCCTCTACAGGTAAAAGCGTACATATGCAAAATAACATTTTCAGCAAATGTTTTTAGTGTACAATTTCTATTTATTTGCCAAGCTTAACATAAAATATAAAATGTGCCATAACTTTTGCACAGGTCACATTTTATGTCCAATTTCTATCCTCCCATATTTTAGGTTTAATTCACATTTCTCTAAAGAACAATCCATTAAAAGTTGCTTTTAGGGTACCAAAGTGGTTCTTCTCACTTTCTCTATGGCAGTGGTCACCAACCCTGGTCCTGGAGACCTACCTACCTGCAAAGTCTAGATCCAACCACAATATGCCACACCTACTCCAGCTAATTAACTTCTTCAGAAGTCACTAACTATCTTAATCAGATGCACTAGCGTTAGGTAAGTAGGAGGCAGCATTTTAGATGCAGGTTGGAACTAAACTCTGCAGGAAAGTACATCTCCAGACAGAGGGTTGGTGACCACTGTTCTATGGCATCAAGCAAAGAACCTTTTAGGCACCTCTATTTTTAAAAATGTAAGTGACCTAACATGACAACATGTATCAGTGGTTTACAAACTGCAATCAAATGCTTACGTGTTCTGATCTGATTCGGATTTACTGAAAACTGTGATACCTGTATTATGAGATGTATCGTAAAGTACCTGGCAATTCCCAGAGAACTTGCAATTTATTCAAAAAAGAGCAGCTGAAGGTGGTCCGACAAAGGTATGTGATGTTTTATGATGTGGAAAACATCAGTTAAATGTCTTATCTTGGAGATAACTGAAATGAATATGTCTAATCTGGTTGTGCATGAAGGACCTTGTCAGGAGGTGTGCTGCTTCACCAAACATCTTGATGTCTATGAAGTCTCTTCTGGATCCTATGCAGTATATTAATGATCACTGTCTACTATGACCTATCACCTCTAATCTTTAATCACTGGATCTAGCAGGTTCGAAAGGGAAGCCAGAGTCCCAAGTTTGTTTACCATGTATCATTTCCTCATTGATTCCTGGGAACTCACTTTACGTTTTCACTGAAAACAGACATGGGATGTAATTACTGTTTGGTTTGGACTGAATATGGAACAGGTTCACACAACAGTGCCTCAGCTGCTGCAAACTACAGTAGGTCATGTAACTTATTTGCACTGATGCAGCATGGCCTATTTGTGTGATAGATTTTCAGTTCTCGGGCCTGGCTATCTTGACCATGTCAGCCATGTGGATGGATCCAATTGCATAACACCAATACGTTTCTGTTCATTCCAAAAATACCCCAAGTCAGTGTTGTATAACAGTGAGGGCCGCAATATGCTTAAGGCAATGTTACTACAGTGAGATAAAAGCCTCAAAAACAGTAATACCCATTTTTCCTTCTTTCTCTTTTCAGTAGCGGCATATCAAGAACTGAAATCTAACCAGTATCAATAGTGATCCTTCAAAGGTTTCACTAAGTATGGTAAGTTTTGTCCATTTTGTCATGTTATTGTTCATTTTGTTGTTCAGTTTCACTTTCGACACTTGATTTCTGTTGTTTTATTAAATGTACTGAACAAACAGGTCACATGACTAACTATCCAAACTCATGTTATGCACCCACAAGACTAACAGTATATGAAACACGTGTATATGAATTAAAAGGTGCAACAGTTTTGTGCTAAATCAGCCTATAAGACTTCAAAGACAAATGTCACATAAAATAGTGCTCTGTTTTGTTGACTAACAAACTGTGGGCTTTTTTGTTTATAGCCACATAACACATTGCCCTGGGCAGAGACAGGATATGCAGGCTAGTTCTCAGCTTGGACTGCACACCACATGCACAGGCGCACACAAAAATAGCACACGCAAATGGCTGCCATTTGAGGCCAAGGCTGGTTTGATGTCATTCACAATCAACAGTCAATACAAGAGCGTGGGTGACTGACTGATTTACAGTGAGCCGTGTATTGCTTTCTGTCTTTTACTCGGCGGAACAATGTTCTACTGATTCCAGGCACATGTTTGGTCTGACCCACAAATAATGTGGGACTGACTGGACTTGTAGCAGCAAAAGTGTACTCTCCTTCTCTCTGTTTCCAATTCTATCTGCCTCTCTCTCAAACCAGAGAAAGATGGGGAGACTGAAGCTTGAATATACACTCAAGACAATAGACATCTCAAGAATTAGCAACATATCCAACAAATGTGGCAGTGCACGCTTCCTCATAAATCATTATCATTATCATCATCATCGCAAACCCATACAGTAGAAACACAGTGCCACACACCCTTCCTCGAGCTGTGAGCTCACTTCCGCTGACATCAGAGTCGTGGGGGGATGGGCAGAGGGTTGTAAAACTGGCTTTTTTTTGGTTCTCCCATCTCCCTGTGCTTCGTCTCTAATGCTTGACCAACCATTGTAACAGCCACCAAACACCAACCAGCCCAACCAGCCACAATTCTTCCAGCCAAGCAGTGCAGTACCATTGACTCAATTCAGAACACCAACCACCACAGGCAGAAACATACGTTCTCTATTTCTCCTCTAGATTGAGGAGGAAAAAAAAACAGTAAGAATGGATCACCTACCTCTGAAGTGCATTAGGGCCACTGGCTGGAAAGGCCCATTTGAATTAGGTGCATCTACGACCATCCTGTTTCCTGTTTTATTGCATGTCAACATGTATACTCGACTGAGAGAAGGCAATCCACTTAAGGCAAGGAACCAGCCTCCATTTTAGCACAAAAGCCAAGCAGAAAATGAAGCTCCCTGCTGCTGGAGGGAACTGGCTAGCCAGTGATGTCAGCAGGGAGTGAGGAGGCCATTGGCTCACTGCAGCTAGGAAGGGTGTTGTCACCAGACTGTGCGATAAACTGCAGCGCCATTGGCTGGGGGAAAAAAAAGGAGGGCTCCCAAGTCTGTATGGCCCCTCCTCCGCTCATTTATAGCTGTCAGGCTCTAGCGCCCTTTCCTGAAGACTCTTGCTTCATGACCATTTCAGCACTATTGTTACAATAATTTGAACAAGACTGTGATGAGCTGTGATCAAACACTGTTTGACAACATTAGATATACAGCATTGTAGCTTGATGGCATTAGACACATTTAGGAGAAACCTGAAAAACTACCAGCAAAGTATGCATTATACTAATTTAGCACCATAAGAGATTATAAAGAATTCTAATTAACAAGTCATTAACAATGTTGTAATTACATTGCTTGCAAACTTGCATGACACTGCATGCACAGATATCCTTTTTAGTAAAATATTCTTCCTTTTCTGGCACTGGTCAAGAGGTGCTTTTAACAAACAACTCGTCTCTGTTTTTGACAAATATCTCCTTTTTATCTTGTCTCGGGTAAGAAACTTAGATAAAAGGTCTGGCACAGCTGAGAGAACACAATGCAATAGCAACATAAACAGGAAATGAATGAGAGATTAAAAAAGAAGAAAGCATATTCTGCTCAGTGACATTTGACAGAGATAGAAACCACAGCACCTTCTGAGGAAAGACCTGGGACACAAGAGGTAGCACACTGTTGCTAGAAAAATAGTGCATTAAAAATGCACTGTGGTTTCAAGGCTGCACGTAGACATACAAGTCTCTCTTTATCCATGGTTCCCTTTGTGTATACTGAAGACTAAACAGCCACATCAAGATCTTTTCAGCTCACATTTGCAACACCTTCTGATACTTGTAGCTATTTCAGCAAATGACCACATGCTGATTATGTGGATAAACATGCAATCCCACCAAGTAGATGAAAGATGAAAACCTAATCCAATGTACTCACCACAGCCTGCTGATTTAACACTAATTCAAAACTTAATAACTGCCTTTTCTTTTTACTATGCCAAGCATTACCAATATTACAAAAAAAAGTTCTTATTTTATTCCTGACTAAACATGGTTTATCTAAAGACCTGATTACTCACCTAAATAACAAAGTCAAAGGAAACTGCAAAATGTTTCTCTAGTTACAATTTTGTAATATTTAATAGTATAATTAGCACAAGTTTGCAGTTTTGTGAAAAACTGTTTGTGTGCGAAAACTGTTTTTTGTGGTTGTTGCAGTTTTGAGAGATCACATGACTCCTGACGCTCCAGCATGCTCTAATCACAGATCTCTCTCTCCTGAATGCTAATCTCTAACACCTGTTGACTTCTCATTAGCTTTAGTAAAAAGCCCGGGCTTTTAGAATAGTTCAGTGCAAGGTACTGCTTATTTCTTGAGCTACTGAGCGTTTATTTCCTGTGTTGTGTTTTCCGGTTTTGACTGATCTTCTGTATTTTGACTTACCTGTTTTTGCCTGACCCTTTTTGGATTATTTTTGCTTGTTATGTTTGTCTGTCTTTAATTGCTGCCCTTACTGGATTTGACCTGTACCTGTTTCCTGACAATGATTTTGGTTGACGATTCCAACAGTAAAGCCTTTTTTGCCTTTTTTTATCCATGAGCGTCTGAGTGGTTCTGGCACATTACAGTAAGAGTGCAATGTTCAAATCACAAGAGTTGCAATTTTAATTGTAGTCTATTGGTTTTCAGGGAAATTTAACATAACATGGTGACTGTAAATTGCCTGCAGATAACATAGACCAATCAAAAGCATGTGCTGTGTACATGACAACACAGCCACAGCTGTCAGTCTGGCACACTACAATATTGATCAGACAAAATCTCAATTAGATATTTCCCCAAATCGTTCAGCCCTAGTTGATGGTGATTGAATGTACAGATACACATAAACCTAGAACATCACCACACACTTAACACATCCTCTACAAAGAACACACTTAAAATATAGCATTTTTCTGAAATTTAAGGCACACTTTTTACTTGTTAGGTTTAATATATTGAAAAATATATATAAATATATATAAAATGTGCCATAACCGAGGGTTCAAACATTTTCTTTCAACTGTATCTGGTAGCATTGTGCAAATTCAGCTTCAGTTCAAACCATTTTTCATTTCTGCAACAGTGTTTATCAAGTCCCTGCTTTGCATTTACAGCAGTTATAACTTGCTGCCACTCCATGGTCTTTCTTTTATTGCTGTTCCCTACAGAAAGACCACCAAATAAAATATGTTTTTGAATATTCACCTCTGCTATGTGTGCTTCAATTTCACAGTCTAGTTCATTTATTTACTTTTGTGAGTTGGTTCTGCCATCGCCTCTATAAGTAGGTTCATTAACAAACATAGCCCTTTTTGTATGCATACAGATCATGAATAATTAATAAAAGCATTTAAAGAGCAGAAACTTAAAAAAGCATTCATGTTTACTTCGAGGAGAAGATGGAATGGGACCAAAAGCATGTGCACACAAACTCACGATAACTGTGAATTATAAATTATGCACAGGTATGCACACAGTGTTATAAATGTAAAACTTTTTATGCATACACAGATTCTGCCATTTCTGGCTACATAAACATTAAGGATGCAAACTCTACATATTGCTATAAACAAGACCCCGGACAATCGTTCGCAAAAAAGGACACAAAAAAGCTTCTATCTGATCAATCAAAAATGGTGGAGGTAGTGTCATGACATGTGAATGTACAGCTGCATTGCAACAGTGTAATGTGTTTTTTACTTGTCTGCTCTGATGATGTAGCAGCAGAATGAATTTTGGCATGCACAGTAGCATCTAACTTTTAAGTATTGAATTTTCTGAAAGCATCTTAGCACAAAAATGATTCTTTAAGGTAGAGCGAGCATCACATTGAACCCTGTCTCTACCAGTTAAGATAATCTCAATACTAAGATGTTTTTGGGAAACTGGGCCTAGATTCAAAATCTGCTGAGCTGCTTGTTAAACAAAACCATGTCATATGTAGAGGATGTTTATTATGATTTCAGCCTTTTACTATATATACATGCAATCTGTGAGATATATTTGTGACATCCTACATTTTTTCTTCTCTCAACCTGGGTGTAATTTGAATTTTCACTTTTTTGATGAAGGAGAAAGTTCTGAGACCTCTCCTCCTTCTGCTGCATCTGCACTAACTATGATTGTTTACATGGGTGTGTCTGATCCACACAGAAGAGAGAACATACCACATAATCACAATGTGACAGAGGAGTGGAAGCTTGTGAAAACAGAGCTGCTTTGTATCTCTAAATTACCTCTGGCAATACTTTAGATGGTATTTCAAAATACCCATGATAACATTACTGTACATGTTTAATAGCATGTTATACCAAATTACCAGATTCTGCCACGTCTGTTCAAGGCGTCCCTTCAAAGATATGTTTCATTTCAAATCTAATATGCTAGCGTATTAAGTCAACACAACAAATACTTTCCGACTGCACTGTAGAAGGCTGCCGCTAGTGACATGCTTAGACCCACTTATATGTAACACAGGCAAGTCTCATAATTGGATGTTAGAGACCTGTGATATTGGCCAATCCAAACACTTTACTTTTATTATATATTGTAAGTGGCTCAAATGGAAAAAAACCTAATAAATGGCCAACGGTTGATGCACTGTGAAACTTGATGTTCAGATAATACATAGGAATACAATAAAATCTCTTATCAGAAAGGTATCTATATATACATAAAACATTTGCATATATTTCTGGAATTATCAAATATCCATGAAAACATGTTTTTATGATTTTTCTTATCAATAATAATAGATTTTTTTAAATGTGATAAAAGATTTTTGTTTGTTTGCTTTGTTTGTTGGTAGGATATGTTGCATTTTATTGTCACATAGTAACATAAAATCATGGTAAGAATCATATCACTGGGCAGAGCAGTAGGTGCCAAGACTGTAGTTAAGCCTTTTTCTTTTTCTCCTTACTGTAGAGCTTAGCTACATTCATAGCAGGCATAAAAAAAGAAAAAGAAAAAAGCATAATGATTCTATTTTAATACATAACAACAATTATATTTTGTAATTAGCATCTAAACTGGTTTAATTTACTAAAAAGGAATCATAACTTTCCACAGCTGGTGTTTCAGTTCTTTTGAAGTAGTATTGCATAAATATAGAATTATGCACGGCCTTAATGAAGGCCATGTGACGTGTGCATGAAAAATAAAAATTACAGATTACAACAAGAAGCCATGTAATCAGATAAAAGTATACTATGCTATACATAAAGCATTCCATATTCCAAGGGTAGAAGAATGGACAAATCCAGTGGTGCTATGTTCCAATTCTTTGTGAATTTCTGCAAACATTTGACCTAAAATGTGATCAGTTCGTTATCTCGGCATTGGTATGAGTGGATCAGACACAGCAATGCTACTGGAGTTTCTGTCCTCTGTGTCCACTCAATCAGACACACGTACTTTGTTGGTGCACCCTGTATTTGTAAAGCAAAGACAACAGTTTATCTGTTGCTGCACATTTTGTGTTAGCCATCCTCTATTCCTTCATCAGTGCCCACAGATGCTACCCACAGGATGCTGCTGGTTGGATATTTTTGGTTGGTGGACTATTCTCAGTCCAGCAGTAGCCACGTTTACATGCAGCCTGATAATCCGTTAATAATCCGACTAATAGCTCAATCGGAATAGAATACGTCCATGTAAACACCTCAATCGGAATAGTCTAATCCGATTGAGGCCATTCGGAATACAATTTCTATCCGATTAAACGAGGTGGGTAAACTTTTAAATAATCCGTTAAATAGAAGAATAATAGCCATGTAAACGCCTGAATCCGATTACATTCCAATCGGAACGTGTAAGTATGTTCTGCGCATGTGCGTCGCGTCACGGCGAAAGTTTACACCGCTCAACATGGCGGAGCAGAAACTGGTCTGG